CAGTGAGCCGAGATACTGGTCAGTTTTGGTGCTGATGAAAGTAGTCCGGCAAGTTCGCTGGAGACATTAAAATAAAGTGTTTTTCTTCTCAAAACAATCTGTGTTCAAAAGAGTGATACATTTGCATCACAAAACCTTTGTCCTTAAAAAAGTCAGACCTCATAATCGCTTGGCACTGGCTGCCGCCAGGTGACAGCTGAGCACAGATACATCACTTTCTTCAGTTGTTCGGCGGTGTTTACGTGCTCAGACTTCCGCGATGTTTACAAGTGGACAGGCGATCAAGAATCAGCTGTAAATCACTCAGTGTCATATCACCAGTGAAGCTTCTACAAAACATAACTTTATTAGTCGACTGTTATTACTATTGTAAATGTCTCGTACACTGTTGGCAGCAGCTACGTGGACGTGTGGATGATTCTATGTTTCTATTAGTCATCCATGTTTCAGTCACAGTGTAGACTCTATGTTCGCTGTGTACGAGTTTATAAATGATGTGATGGTGATTGTCGCTCACTCGGTCTCTCACGGCTCCAGCTTCAACTTGTACCACATATTCAGGTTCATAAAGATCTCCCTTTGGCTTTGTGGTAAAGGCAATGTCTTTATTGTCGGTGTCGTAATCAGACATGTTGTCACCAACATTCCGAGCAGTAAACAAAGTGAACCAGGTGCAGCTGTCAGCTGGCAGCAGTGCGCAGTGATATGAACGGAGAGAAAATAGTACCAAGCGATTATGAGGTCTGACTTTTTTGAGGACAAAGGTTTTGTGATGCAAATGTGTCACTCTTTTGAACACAGATTGTTTTGAGAAAAAAAATGCTTTATTTAACAGTCCCCAGTCAACTTGCGGGACTACTTTCATCAGCACCAAAACTGACCAGTATCTCGGCTCACCGGACGCTGTCGGGGGTAAGTCAGTGTCAGCACGACACTGCTGACGGGGATGACATACAGACTCATGTAAAAATATATATATATATATATATATCCCTTTAAGTGGACAGTTCATTCTGAAGGCTCTGCTGCTATTCCAACATGCCGCTATTTACACATTGACGTCTAATTGTCTAATTGAGTAGCGGCATAAACATCATTTTTCAAGCGTCAGAGTAGAAGGACTTTACTATTTTTCAAACATTCCGCTTTTCCGACATGAATAATATTAATGTAGTAGACTATTATATTTTGCACTCCCATGTATCACAAGATGCTTGGGCCTTGATCAGAGAATACGTCGGCCACACAGGAGATCAGACAGCAGGAAAATGTCCTAACTCATCGCCAAGGGAAACAGTCATGAATTTTAAAAAAGAGCATAGGTCAGACTTTGGAAAAATATCGAATCTAAACTGAGGCTGCATGGGCCTTTGTGCTTCATTCATTGGGTCATGTAGGCGATCTGTGGAGAACACCGTGTATGACGTAAAACACAACAGATTCCAGGCACTCCAAAAAAGTAGAAAAAGTAAATTAATTAATTTAATTAAGCATTGATGAAGACCAGTTAAAGTTGAAACATGTTGGCTTTGGCCATTCAAATAAAGGCCTTTTAACTATATTTTTCCTCGTGTGATTTTTTTTACTTTTTTTTTTAATTATTATTATTTTTTTCTACTTTTTTGGAGTGCCTGGAATTTGTTGTGTTTTATTTTTAATCCTTTTTTCCAAGAGCACCCTCTACCTGCTCCTACTGATTGGAACACCTGCAGCAAACAGCCACATTTTTGTTCTTTCTGCACCATATATGACGTGTCGGAGCAGCAATACTAGAAAGTGTCCTAATACCGACACGTCTAAATAGAGACATGATGGTATGAAGGGATGTCGGAACATGTTCTTCACTCGTAGTTCAAAATCACATACACATATTTTGGAACCTTTGAACCAGCTCCATACCTGCCCCCTGCGCTTTACTCTGCACTGCTTTATTTTTGTATTTTTGAGAACTTTGGAATCACAGTGTTGTGTAGCAATTTAAGGTCTGTAAATCAGCTCTGTAGTTTTTGAAGTCCTTTTATGAGTTTATGAGATCAGTGTTTTGATTTAAATCAGTTGCCTTTATTTGACCCGATAAAATACTGGGATCAGAGGGTATAAAACTAAAGCATGTGTTTCAGGTTAAAATAACAGGGCTTTGTAAACTTTCAGAGCTGTCACTGTTGCTTAAAGGTCCTATATTATACGAAAATGACTCTTGTGAACTTTAAAACATGTTATCATGCCGTAAATCTCCTCAAAAACAGACCTGGAGTTGTGTTTTGTTTCATTCACACATGTTGGAGTAAACCTTTATTAATAGTTTGTCTACATCTCCAAGGCTCAGTCTTCCACCTGGTGACGCCATGAAGCTGTAGTTTTTCAAGTTAACAATGTCTTTTATCTTAAGTTTAGTCAAGATAGGCAATTCCAGCGCTGAAATGATCCAAACAGTTCTAATAGCTCAACTCCAGGTATGTTTTGATGAGGAAAGATCTGCTGAAGTCTTTCGTGGTTTAACAGGGAGCTGGTGTAAACTGGATTCAGGCGACTTCAAGTACAAAGCCGTCGTAAACTCTGGACTAAATCATCTCTTTTCATCACACAAAAGAATGAGACCACGCTTGTTGGACTAATATAATGTTGTTTTTTTTCAGTAAAATGTGTAAAAGTACGATTTATCCCAATGCGTGCTTATAAATATAAATCTGGTCTTGTCATCTGGTTGGAGTTAGACGAGCCTGTGTGCATGGGTTCCATTACAATAAAACATGTATTGCTTAGTGAACAGTAACCAGAAAACAAATACAAGGAAATAAAAACAAGCCAGTGAATCAAAGGACAGCTGAAAGGTTTTACCTGATTTTTTTTCTCATGTGTTTGAGCAAAACGGGTGTTGTCCCGATTATATATACTGGCATTACGTAATCAGAGTACAAATTATGAGTAACTGTATTCAGATACAGTTACTGCTTGAGTGAGAGATAACTGGATTACAGTTACATTAATCCAATTATCTCTCACTTTTTTTCACCCCCCTGCTTTTTTTTTTTTTTTTTTTCTCGGTAATTCCACTTATTGCCAGAGTAACCAGGTCTAAACTAGATCTAAACCAGGACTAAAACCAGGTCTAAACTAGATCTAAACCAGGACTAAAACCAGGTCTAAACTAGATCTAAACCAGGACTAAAACAGGTCTAATCCAGGACCAAAACCAGGTCTAAACTATGTCTCAAACAGGATTTAACAGGACTAAATCAATCTGCGTGGGCGTGTCTCCTCCTCTTCTATCAATAATATTTTTAATTTGGTTGAGTAAAATCTGGTCTTTTTATTTTCTTTTAGCAGACAAAACATCTTATGATACGATATTCTAGTCTTTGCTTCTCTACAGCAAATCAAATAATCCAAAGTATTCAAACTACATTACTCACTTTAAGTAATTTAATGGATTCTGTTACAAACTACATTTTGGAGTATGTAATCTGTAATCTGTAGGGGATTACATTTTAACCTTCCCAACACTGTATATATAGTATAAACAGGTCTTGAGGTCATAAATAAGTCCGCTCTGTGCTTTCAACATCTGATTCTAAAGTGTTTGTTTTTTTTTTTCTCTGATAATCAGGAAGTGCACTGTTAACATGATAAGTATTGTTAGCATCAATTTCAGGGAACAATGTCTCTGAAGAAAGAGCAAGAGTCTTGTTATAGACACATCAACCAAAATGCACTTCATCACTTGCAGTTAGTCCAGAACTCTGCTGTGCTGAGCAAAAAGTGCGATCCCATTTCACCAGTTCTTGCGTCTTTGCACTGACTTTCTGTTCATTTTAGAATTGATTTTAAGATTTTATTGTTTGTTGTAAAGCTTTGAATGTTCTGGCCCCACAGTACGACTCGGACCTCATCCAGATTTACTCCCTCCTGCGCTCTGAGGTCCGAGGGCCAGCTCCAGCTCGTGGGGCCTAAACCAAGACTTAAATCTCTGTGACCAGCCCCAAACTCTGGAACACTCTGCCCCCCCACGTCCTCACAGCCCCACAGTGGAGAGTTTTAAGTCTCGTCTTACTCTCTGACTTTTAATATAACCCTCTGTGTCTTTTATTTATTTACCGTTTGTATCCATTTTATTTTTAGTACTGCCTTTATTTATTGATTTTATTATTTTTGTCCATTACTTTTATTATTAGTCTTTTATTTATTGATTCTATTAGTTTCTTTTGTTTGGACCATAATTCTGCTGACGTTTTAGTTAAAACACTTCTATGTGAAGCACTCTGGAAACTGTTTTGTTTATAAAATGTGCTATATAAATAAAGTTGAATTGGACTGAACTGAACAGTGCTTCTAATGGTGGAGCTGAGGACATATGCACAACACGTGTCAATCAAACAAAATCACTTTATTTGTCCTGAGCCGCAGTTTGAATACAATAAAAATAGAAAAAAAAAAAATCAAACAAAAGTGTCAGTGCAGCTCAACAGGTCGAGTCATCAGATCCAGTGTCAGGACAGTGTGAGGGATACTCCCCTCACACTGTCCTGACACTGGATCTGAGCAGCAACAGCCCTCAGGACAAAAGTGTCCCTCCTGTGTTTCCTCTGTGTCCTGCAGCATCACAGCAGCCTCCAGGGGGAGCAGGTGAACTCTGGACACACAACAGAAACCTTCTTAAGCCTCTGATGCTTCGGTTGGTGATAAGTGTAAAAGTCTGTTACATTTCAGAGATAGTTTGTTTGCATAACTATCTCCAAGCTGGGCTGCCGACAATCCAATAGTCCTTTACTGTCCATCCTTTGAATTGCACAAGCTGCTCTTCTTAGTTGGCCCAAATCCCAAAACAGTAAGTTAAAAAAATTAAGATAAAAAATATATATATATTAAAAAGAAAGTGTAAAAAACTGCTCATTGTGCCAGCTAGTCAGCCACAAGAGCAGCCAACAGTGACCAGGGAAACCACGGGCATGAATCATGAATTAGATAACAGCTTGACGTGTGTGTGTCCCTGTGTTTTTCAGATCGCGTTCTCTCAGCACAACTCCATCATGGACCTGGTGCAGTTCTTCGTCACTTTCTTCAGGTAGGTCCACCACACCACTGAACCGTGTCCAGCAGGGGGCGCTCACTGGCACCTTCATCTCCTCACAGCTGAGCTAGGTTCAACAAGAGCAGCACACAGACCCAGAGTATGTGAAATGAAAATCCCCTTTTAAGACCAAAATAAGTGTTGTGCAGGCAGAAGTCAGTCTGATCCAGTTTAAACAAAGATCAAACTGAAATGATTCATTTAGACAGTGTAATCTTATAAATGCTTTCTTTGGAAAACACACTGGGGTTTCATATCTCCTATCAGGTTCTCAAAACCTTGGAGTTATTTTTGACAGCAATTTTAAAATTGAAAAAGCAAATAAATGAAGTTTTTATCATTTGAGGAAAAGCAGTCATAGTGCTCTGTAAATGCAGATTGTAGGAACAGTCTAATGTGTGCTTGTGAGTGTGGAATATTTAGGAGGATAAATAACACATGACCACTTCAAGACACTTTGAGCGCACACTGCTGATCACTATTCAGTGGACAATAGTTCATAGGGGATCAGACGTGAGAACTGAATACACAGTGATTGTGAGTGATTGAGATGTCCAAAACCAGTGTGTTCATCTGTGCATGACATAATCTGTCTGTCTCCTCTGTCAATGAAGATTTATCTCCTGAAATGTCTTTGATAGTGTTTTACCACCGTCTTACCCTGAGGTGTAGTTAGATTGATTCTGACATATTTGAGTAATCTTGTATTGTCCGGCATGTGAGTTTATTCAAAATATTGAGACTCTGGGTCGTACATGTCAGGTTACATACACTCTTTAACAATAAAAACAAATATATGAATATAAACACAACAATAAAACACAGACATTAATAAAAACACACCTGAATAAAGTCTACGTTCATACTGCAGCCTGATGTGATGCCAATCGGATTTTCTCGCGCCTGTGTGACCTGGATCTGATCTTTTAATGACAGTCTGAACCACACAGATCTGATTTTTTTTCAAATGTGACCCAGGCCACTTGGATATGTGCTCCTGAAACTCAAACATATCTGACCTTTTGACATGTGACTTCAGTCTGAACGGTCAAGTCACATTCATCCACCTACACGTCAGGCTCAGAGTCTCATCAGTGGAGGGAAAGTGAGGTTAGTGAGTTCATTCATATTTGGGGGATCGCTGTATTCAGGACAAATTAGAGGAGTCTTATCAGAACTGGGCAGTTTTTGAAATGATGCCAAAGAAATGTTCGAGCGCTGCTACAGATGGTCCTGGCTCCAATGTCAACAAAAAATAAAGAGCCTGCGAGACAAATACAAGGAGGCTAAAGACTCCAAACAAACAAAGTGACTGTGGATGTGTAACCTGTCCATTTTACCAAAAACTGAACCGGATTTTGGGAGACAAGCCCAGCGTTTCCATAAACACTGAGCAGACTCGCTGTGTGTGATGCTGTCGTGTCTCCAGTGCTCATGCAGGACACTTTTGGGGAGTTGAAAGTTCACACTGGAGATCACATACAAGTCACATTTTGTTCGTCGCATTTATTTGGAAATGTGAATGATCTCGCAAAAAAATCTTATTTCACAAAAAAAATCCAAATTGAGCATTAAGTCCTGCAGTCTGAACATAGCCAAAAATACAACAATAAAAATACATCCATGAATAAAAACACAGACATATCTGCTGATCTGTCTCTGTGAAGGTCTGTTTGTTCTGCAGTGTTCAATGGAACATTTTCTACTATCACACTACTTTAGATGAATATTACAGTTTACATGAACACATGTAAAATTGTGATCTACGTATGTTTTATTTTAATACTAAATACCTGAGAAGAAAATGCACAGTATGTCTTCTTTAAAATCCTGAATAGAACACAACACAGGCCCTTCATAACTGGCTGTGTCTAAACTGGTGCTTCATAAATAGACGTGTATTTGCATAGAGAAGAGTCTGGTTCACACTGTTGACACTGACACACACACACACACACACACACACACACATACACACACACACACACACACACACATCTGTGGAGCTAATGAGAGCGCTGGGCTAAAGACTGAGGCTCTGTGGAGGCTCCAGGCTCTGTCCTGCCACTCACTACTGTGAATGTGTATGTGTGAATGTGTATGCGTGTGTGTGTGTGTGTGGTGTGTGTGTGTGCGTGTGTGTGTACCACAAAGCACAGAGAGTACTTATATACTTATATGATCTTATATAATGCAGTGGTCATCTGCAGCTTGTTGCTGTGACGTGTCGTCAGTGTGTGACAGTTTACTGTCTTATCACAGAGTTACATGTTACGTCCAGTGTTGGACAAACTATAATGTCTTTAATTACAGAATAATGAATAAGTGCATTAAAATATCTGTTGTAACTCTCTGTGTTCAAGAACACTTTCACATGGAGTATTATCTATTTTTATTACATTGTAAAAACATGACTTATTTAAGATAGTTTAGTTGCACCATTCATAATTTATTTTCTTGTCACTTTATCCAATTATTTATCACTAATTAGAGAAGAAAAAAAAAAATCACACTTGTACTCAGCACAAGAGCAGTTTCTTCTGTTTTCTCACCATTATACCCCACTGCTCCACAGTGAACCTTCACAATCAAATACCACAATATATTTTTAGAAAAGTAACTGTGCTCTGAACACCACCAACACTATTCAACTAATGACCGTTACTCCAAATGTGTATTCTGAACGTATGTACTTGTATTTACATGGATATTGCTTTGCTTGGCATGTTTCATGGTGTGCCATGAAACTTAGACTTAGACAAACTTTATTTATCCACAAGGGAAATGATTTGGATACTGTACCCTGCTGCTCTCTCAGGCGCTCAGGCCATGAACAACATATTTTATTGCTCACCTTGGAAACACCTGCATTCTTAAATGGTAAATGCTCATATTTTTATACTCAAAGTGCTTTACAACACGGATTCACCCATTCACACACACATTTACACACCAGTGTACACAGACACAAGGTGGGTTAAGAGTCTTGCCAAAGGATACAATGGCAGCATTCATCTGTGGCAACTGGAATCGCACCACCAACCTGTGGGTCAGTGGATCTGAGCGCTCAACCCATGATGTTTATGTTGAGTGATATTCAAACCGCCAACCACCATCAATGAACAAACACACCTGAGCTTCTGTCGCCCATGTTCGACTGTGAGTGAGGTCGCCTTTCCACAGATCTGCTCTGTGATGTAGCCTCCTGAATATCTTCATGGAGAAAAAATGAATTTAATGTCATTCTGTGCGACACTGTAAGCCCTTTTAGTGTGATCAAGTCTTCTGATAAATGGCACACGTGGTGTAGTGTGTCGTCGTGGAGCCTTTGGACAAGCTGCTCTGACATCTCATCTTGAACTTCAAAATGGTGTTGATTTATGAACATAAAAAGTATTCAGGGTTTCTGTGACATCATGTTCAGAGTGTGTTGTGAGGCTCAGAGCGAGCAGACCTAGTGACAGTGTTGCTGAAACAGTGTGACTGAAGCTAAATACAACTCCAGGTCAGATTTTCAGGAGAACAATGTTGTAACATGGTTAACAGCTCCAAAAAGTTGCCTTTACATAATCCTTTAATAGACTTTTAGATGAAGCTCATTTAGCATCAGAATACCACTCGTGCCCTTTAGTTCCTCAGAGATGGAGGTGCACAGAGGTGAAGTGTACCCAGGGCTGACCGCGGGCACACACATGACCTTTACCCTCGTGATGTCATCAGGAGGGGGCAGTTTGGCCGTGGGAGCTCGTGGTGTCAGCGTTTCTATTAGTCACTGTGTTTATGAGCGCTGCTGCTCAGAGGAAAGGTTAGGAAGAGAAAATATGGAACTATTCTCTGGGTTTATTCAGTTCAGTGTTGCATAAAAAGGTGCTGAGATCTTTATGTAAGAGCTGAAAAAGAGAGTGAAAAAAAAAAGGTATGATTTAGACTTTTGATTCAAATGGACTTCAATGATAGGGTGTTGTGTTATCTAACCAGCACCATGACCCAACCAAGGCTGAGAGCAGGGCCAGCACAGGGACACGCTAATCAGCATGTCATCATTTAAACAAGACATGTTCTGCAAAGAACACTTTTGTTCACTTGAAACCATTGTATAATCTGCTCTCCTCGCATAACGACAGTTTCCTCTCAGCAATGACGAAGAAGAAGACGCAGGTTTAAAAACGTGACTTTAACCAGATACTAAAACCATGTCTCCACTGGTTCATTTGGAGCTGACTGGGACAGTGTAAAGAGGACTGAACTGACTGTTTGAGAGGTCCAAAGTGACAATGGGGAGTGGTCTGGCTCATTTCAGCCCCAGGATCAACTTCAGCTCAAGTATGGCTCCACAGCACAACATCATTGGCTAAAATAGATTGTACACTCAAGGTGATTTGATCTCCCTCCAGCACGCTCCAGTTTACCGCTCATTCTACATTCAGTTTTCCCTGGTTTAGTCCTAGTTTAGTCCTGGTGTAGTCCTGGTTTAGTCCTGGTTCTGCCCTGATTTAGTTAGTTTTATGAGTTTCCTCCTCAGCTGGCTGAGCACTAAGGAGCTCACTCTCATGGGACGAGCTTGGAGTAGAGCCGCTGCTCCTCCACGTAAAGCGGAGCAGCTGAGGGTAGAGCATCTGTCCTGGATGCTTCCCTGGTGGTGTCTCATCAGGAGGAGGCCCTGAGGAAGATCTAGGACACACTGGAGGGACTATGTCTCTCGACTGGCCTGGGAACGTCCCTTGAAGGAGCTGAGTGAAGTGTCTAGATCAGAGGTGTCAAACTCATTTTGGTCCGGGGGTTGTAACCAACCTACTTTGATCCCAAAGGGGCCGGATCAGAAAACTCATGTCATATAAACCCCAAAAATAACAATAAGTTCAAATATTTGTGCAGAGAAACAAAGGAATAAGTCAGTTTTTCTTGGAAAATCCTGCACTCGGCTCCACTTTTCTCATGTTGGACATTTTTCTGATGAGGGTGTCACAGTCAACAGTCAAAACGATCGTCCTTTA